AGACGTGTGCTCTTCCGATCTCCCCAAAACCCCAAAACCCCAAAACCCCGAATGTATAGAATATCAAACATTTATATAGCGTCAGGAATGAATAATAAATTGTGAAATTATAAACTTTAAATGAAATCAACAAGCATTATAGTATTGCTAGCACTAATTGGCTATTCCTCTTAAGTTACTAGGCATCCAGTGAGATAGGAACTAGTTGAAGAGATTAAACTTAAAGCAGAATCTTGGACCCCAGTAGAAACTCACTAGAATCTGTTGAGAGATGTGCACCCAGATAAGATTAAATCAAGACTTGGAAATTTAGGTTTCCAAGAGGGTTCTCTGATCTCTAAACTAATGAGCTATTTGCCTTTCAAAACCAAATTCTTGGGAAATCATAATCACGAGCACAATGCCAAGTCATCTCATAAAAAATTGCAAAGCCCTATGCTCTAGGATATTTTCCCTTAGAGTTTTGACTTCAGAGAGCAGCATCCTACATGCTTGAGAGAGATCAGAGATCAACTAGACTGTGGAGCGTGCTGGGCTTTCTCAAGTTCTGGTATGCTGGCAGATAGAATATGCAAAGCCACTGATGGCAAGGTAAATCTCGAATTCTCCCCTCAGGACATGGTGGCTTGCAGTATGGATAATTATGGGTGTTAAGGGGGGTACCTAATGAACTCAATTGATTTCTTAATGAATGATGGAGTGGTGATTGATAAATGCCAACCTTACAGGAATGCTTTGAACAAATGCGAGTACAGCTGCACTGATAAGACTATACCCTACAAAAAGCACTACTGCAGACCAGGTTCTCTCAAGATAATGACCACTGCTGAGGAATTCAAGCAAGAGCTGTTAACTAATGGGCCATTCATTGTTAGTTTGACTGTCTACGAAGACTTTATAAACTACGGCAATGGTACCTATACTTACATTGCAGGTGAAATAATCGGAGGCCATGCCATGAAAATGATGGGTTGGAGCACTGAGAATGGCAAGACAGTGTGGCTATTGCAAAATCAATGGAGCGATTAATGGGGAGAAAAGGGCTTTATTAAGATTCTAGAGGGTGAGATTGGAATTGATTCAATAGGTATCTCTTGCCAACCAGAACTTAACTCTGAAGAATCTAAGTGAGTTGATGAACATAGAAAATCACTCTATGATAAGTTTCATCATGATCCTAAGTGACTCAAATGCACTTTGTTTAAATGATGATTATCAAATATATAAACTAATAAAAATGTTTAAATCTTAACCATATCTAAGAATAAGAAACTAAATCTTATTATATTTAAGATTTCAATAGATGGAGACTTCACAACAACAAAAGATTTACAACTTCTCAGCTGGTCCATGTATCTTACCTCAAGAGGTACTAAAGCAAGCTCAAGATGAGATGATGAACTGGCACGGATCAGGCGTCTCAGTCATGGAAATGAGTCACAGATCTAAGGAGTTCATTTCAATCGCAGAGCAAGCAGAGAAGGACTTCAGAGAACTCCTTAATGTCCCAAAAAATTACCAAGTCTTCTTCTTCCAAGGTGGCGCAAGCATGTAGTTCTCAGCTATCCCCTACAACATTCTCGGAGACAAGACCAAGGTCAACTACATCACAACTGGTTCATGGTCAGAGCAAGCTCAGAAAGAGGCAAAGAAATTAGCTCAAACTGTCGAGGCCTGGTAAGATCACGCAAGCAAGTTCACCACTGTTCCCAATCCCGAAACCTGGAACATTGACAAGGAGTGCGCATACTTCCACTACTGCGACAATGAAACCATTCACGGAGTTGAGTTCAACGACTTCCCATTCGAGAAGGTAGAGGGAATGACTCTCGTTTCAGATATGAGTTCAAACATCGGAACAAGACCAATTGACTGGGAAAAATATGGAGTAGTTTATGCTGGAGCTCAAAAGAATCTCGGACCTGCTGGAGTATGCATAGTTGTAGTCAGAGAAGACTTGATTGGAAAGCAAAGACCTGATACCCCAATTCTCTTCGACTGGAAGGTTTTCAGAGATGCACCAACCAAGTTCCACAACACTCCTGCTTGCTACCCCATTTATGTGACTGGACTCAACCTTGCTCACATGAAGAGCTAAGGACTCCAACACTATCAAGATTTAGCTAACAAGAGAGCTTCAGCTCTTTATGACTACATTGATGCATCAGAGGGATACTATACTAACCCAGTTGAGCCAAAATACAGAAGCAGAACAAATATTCCATTCAGAGTAAAGAAAGATGAGAAACTTGAAACCAAATTCTTGGCTGAGGCTCAAAAAGTTGGTTTGATTGAGTTGAAGGGTCACAGATCAGTAGGAGGCTGCAGAGCATCATGCTACAATGCCATGCCATTTGAAGGAGTTGAGGCCCTCATTGAGTTCATGAAGAAATTCAGAGAGGAAAACCCTTGAATTGCAAATAATAAATGACGATTTATTCTATAAATTTGACACGATTAGTCTCGTATGTCACAACTCACATTTTATTATATACATTATGGCAATTAGTCAAAATCTTTAGCGACCACTATTAAGCTAATAATGGCTTTTTGGGGTTTTGGGGTTTTGGGGTTTTGGGGTTTTGGGG